AAAGAAGAATTCCTTAGGTAATTTCATTTGTAAGAATATTACAAATAATTAAATCAAATATAATTTACATACTTATATATAAGTGATAAATCAATAGTTTCTTAATTACTGTTTAGTAGTTTCAAATTTTCCGGAATGTAAACTGAGAGCAAGTTTAAAAAAAAAGAGCAGTCGAATGAATGATACAAAAATATCGAACAAATAGCCACAAAACATTAATCATAAAGCGGAATTGTTTTGAACTTAATTGAATTTTTCATTTCAATTCATTTTATAAATTGTTCTTTTCCTTCCTTCATCTATGCAAATCTATCATTCTTTTCTTATTTTGTTTCGTCTTACAAAAAAAAAAATAACAAAAAAAAAAAGAAAGTGGAACAACCACTTTTTTTTTTATCCCTAAACTAAATTTTTTTTTTTTCTTTACACTTTACACTCTGCTCAATCACTATTTTATCATTTTATGATCATCATTTGCTTTTATCATTTTGCCCTTTATCACTATTTTATCACTTTTTATGGTTTGCTTTTATCAGTTATAGATAAAGAAATTGTTGGCTATTGATACATTTTAACCTTGCATATTTTTACTTTTCGAATTTAATATTAACAAATCAGAATTATATCAATCAGTACAGCTATTGCCTTTAACATATTTCTTTTTTTTTTTTACATTTACTCAATCATTATTCCATTATATTATTATCGTCTGTTTCGTCGATTTGTCACATTTTTGTCAATCATAATATATTCATACACTCTCCTCTCTTTCACTCATATTTGTTTCTATTGCTTCATTTACATATTCCCTTCATCCCAACCATTCCATCTACATTTGTCATTATATCCCATAAAATTAAAAAAAAAATACAAAAAAAATTAAATTACCAAAATCCTATAAATTTTTATGGAATTTTCTGTAACAAAAAGCAAAGTAAAAAATGTATGATCAATCATCGATGTCAACATCACAAACAATAAGTTGAACTATTTTTCATTAACATAACATTTTAAAGTTGAGATACAATGATGTTAACAATTCAAACAGGACTATTACTCATCAGAATCCATGAATATAATTAACAATCCAATTTATGAATATGAAAAATACCACGGTTGAATATTTTTTGTCAACATTCTAGGAACAGAAGTTTTGATCTCACACTTTTTTTTTTCTTCTTTTTGTCCATTTTATTCGATTATTCTCAACAAGCAATGGAAATGTGAAACCCTATCATGCATTTTCTGCAGTGTTTATTAATTTGTAATATCATCATGATGCTAACAAGCTTACTCATTAAGCATGCATTGCAGAACCTCATTAAGGATAAGAGGCTTCCTATAATCGCGCTATTTTGACAATGCAAATGATCGTACTAAGAACTGCCACAAGCAATCAAATCTTAAAATTAAGCTAATGCAAATCAGTAAACGTTATGAAGATTTTTGATAAAGAACCATAGTGCCAATGCTTTCCAGAAAATATCACATAAAATGACAAAAAAAGAAAAAACAAAATAGAATGGAGTAGTGCCATTTATTTCCCATTCTTTACCAGCTACATTTACAGTACCACAAGTATACGAAATAGGGAAATGTATTGTTAAGAATGTCATCTTTTTATCGGCTTTCTCTTCTTCTTTCTTGAGGTATTAAGATGCCGTACAAAAACACTCCTACATTTCTTCTTCAACACTTCTTCATGCGCCATATTTTCAGTCAATGATGCAATGGCATTTTGTGTCGATGACCGGCCGTAATTTGATGCCATTTCCGCAGTTACATAACGAGTTTTCTGAAAAGAAAAAATCAGCAAATAATCAAAAATTAAAAAACTACTACAGATTTGTCCGAATTGCTGACGTTACGTTAAACAGATTAAGTGTTCAGTGTCCACAGTTCTGCATAAATATGAATGCAAACAAGTCTGAAATAAGTTTTCGAAATCGGAAAAGATAATTACGATGAATCAGAAGGATGAAGAGGTGAAAGGAAATTTTCATCTATCTTCTTGATGCACACGTTCTTCAAAGCACGATAATCAATTTGAGATAAAATCAAAAAGCGAAACGAATGTTTATAAATGACTTCCAGTGATGCTAACTACTTTGCGCAATGTAACCTGAACTGTCACGACAAACTAAATATTCAGTAATAAGCTATCTTAAAAGTAGAATCAGACCTTAGCAACAATGACCAATATAAAAGTAATCCAAAACACTACCAAGCATTAAACACATAACAAAAGCGACCGCAACCAACCACTAATGAGATTTGCTTGCTTACGTTAAAAATAAAAGAAAAAAAAAAAACCATACCTTGATATGAACGTAACTGGCTGGCAGTGACTGTGACAATAAACGATTCAACTGGGTCAACAATGCTTTCTTCTGCTTTCGTAAATCTTCAATCATTTCCGCTGTGGCGTCCTTTTTGTATCCACTAAAATAAAAATCCACATCACGACAAATGTTTCGCCTCAACTAGAACGAAACACCGCTTACAGTTAATTTTCTCGAGAGAAGAAATTGAATTTTTACGTAAATTAACAGGAAAGTAAAACCCTTTCACAAACATAAGAAGCTAACAACCTCAACAATAGCCAATAAAAACCTACAATTAATGATAAAAAACAGATCTCAAAAACAGCAAATATTTTGATTTTTTTCTTGTTGTTTGTCATAATTTATTACGGTTTAACTTGAGAAACTTTCTGTTTTAACTTTTTTTGTGTTTTTTTCCGGTATAACATATTCTACTTAAAATTTTTTTATCAATATCAGAACCAATGTTTTTGTAGAAAATTCGTCTGCAATCAGCAAGATTATTTCAAGATTCAATATAATCAGAAACGAAACACTCTCCTTCGATTTTTGCTGAACATAAACAAAAGTTGAATCACTCAGAAGTATCATTAAGAAAAAAAAAAATAGCAACCGACCTTATGTCCAAATCCAAATCTGCACTTGCAGCCGCTTTCTCAAACCATGTCTGTTTGGAATGCATCTACAAATTTATGCAAGCAGTTGTATCGACTGAAGACACAGGTGTATTATGTGGGATGGAAAAGAAAAGACTATCTTTGTGTGTGGAGGAAAAATGCGAAGAAACTAAGCTAGAATAAAGGAGCCAACAAACAAACAAATATTAAAATTGATGTATGTATTGAAATAAAAACATCGAAGATTGAATACTTCCATAAAACTTGCAAATGATGCAGAAAAATGGTAAAGAAATTGATGCAGAAGAATGCTAATAATGAAATACAATAAAGACATCACTGAAAATTGAAAAACTTCCTTTGGTGAACCCTTACCTTCTTCATTCGATGATCTAACGCTTCAACTGCTGTTGCAACTTCAACTCGATTTTTCAAAACGCCATATAGTTCAGGTGAATCGAGTGGGAATATGGGAAATTCCTTCTCTAAATTTCAAACATCCTTTTATTAAAATCTGTTCGCATAATAAAATATTTTGATATCCTTATATTACGATGTTCACATTTAGATATCTATCAATATTTCAAAATTAACACCTCTTAGAAAATAACGTAATCTGAACGTAATCACTGCAAACTTCAGTACACTAGGTTAAGGTTATAAAAATTTGTTATTTTTTTAAAATATATACAAAATTGATGTTACTTAAACTCCAAGTAAATAGAAGAAATCCTAGTAAGCAGTGATTGAAATTCATTTCTGATCTTTCCCTTCGACAATTTTGATACCATTTTTTCTACAGTACATTTTTGGTACCTTATTTAAAAAAAAATTTCAAAGTCCTGCTTAAATAAATACACTAAAAAAAGATATGGAAACAGAAGCAGGAGAAGTAATATCCGATTTCCCGATTACTCATTTCCAAAAAATTGCAAAAACTGGATAAGAATTCTTAGTAACAGATGCGAAATTAGTAAACATTAACCAACCTCTACTCAAATTTCTGCATATTCTTTGGTAATAAGGAACATCTTGGGAATCGATAAGTAAAACGGCAAGTCCTTCTTTCGTTGCTCGTGCTGTACGACCACACCGATGGATATAAAGCTATAAGATATGTAATAGTTATGGAAAATGGCAAGAGCCGATCACTGTTTGTTTGCTCGAGAATTCAAAGTGATGATATGCAACACATTTCAATTTAAAAAAAAAAAGTACATACTCAGCAAAGCATCAAGTGATTGAGACCATAAGTTCCATCAGATGAGATACGTTAAACCAAAGAGCGGTGTATAGTACAGCTTACCTAGAACCACCATTCAGTTAATTTTAACATTTACCTCAGCAGTTTTTGGTACTTGATAATGAATGACATGTTGAACATCCCGAATATCCAAACCACGTGCAGCTACATCAGTTGCAAGCAAAACAGAATTTTCCTCTACTAAAATTTCAAGATTTTTCCGAATCACAAAGAGCAATGACTACTACTCAGTTTAAAGTAATGTCTAGAACAAAGAAAACAAAAAAGAAAAATGAAATAAAGATTTACTAGCAAATTTTTCCAAATTTTTCAAACGCTTCTTTTGCATCATTTTCGCATGCAACATTAACGGAACTGGTTTATGCTCAAGCTGAAAAACAATTAAAACACAAGAGGGCTAAAGACAAACGAATAAAAATACGTTACAATTTACATGATTTTTTTTGAAGAAATTTTTTATTTAATATTACGTATATTTCAGCAATACAGGTTAAAAAAAACAAAAAAAAACTTCTGTTTCACCTGTTTTAAGATTCCATGTAACCTTCTGGATGCATCGACTGAATTAGTGAATACCAATGTTCGTCCAGCATAACGATTCAGTAGATATATGAGACTGGTGTCCTGAATTAGCAAATTTACAAGTAGCATAAAAGTAATTATTAACGGGCAACAACCAGAACAAACAGTAATCCGGAACGAAGTGTACCTTTTCCAGCAAATTATTGCAGTTTATTCGCGCTTCTACGACTGCTTTAGCTGTACCTCTTTCGCCAGTAATATCGATAATTTTGTGCTTTTCTTTTCGTATTCCAGTGATTTCAATCAATCTGCCTAAAGAAAGGGATAAGAGATCATCAGTAAGTAAAAGTAAACTAAATAATATTAAGTGAAGCAAAACAAATGAGGGCCACTGAATACCCTAATAATTAATATTTCTAGCATGCAAATGTATCGAAAACAGGAACAGTCCCGCACTCAAGATAAGAATACTCCTGATACTCTTTGCAAAAGACAGTGATAATGCTAAAATGGATAAATAAATTGCAAATTAAAATCTATAGCTTGCACAAGCACCGATATCGATTCTTCTCTTATTAGCAGTTATTTCGTTAATACTGCAGCACCGTCAGCAGAAAAAAAAAAGTGCAGGAACTAAAAGCATAATATAGCGTGTTGACATCAAAAATAACACATAGGATTTTAAATATTCTTTCCTTCTGCAGGGGGGTTATGATGTCGTCGATAAAAATTCTGGAAAAAAAAAGAGAAAAGAGGAAAGATCTCAGACTGATAGAGGAAAATTTCCAAGCTTATGGTAGGGCACATGTACCTTTGAAATTATTGTATTAATCCCGTAGGTGAAAAAAGAAAAGAAAGCTCATTCAGATATTTATTAAAAAACTTATTAAATAAACTTATGGGATAGAAGGATATTTCTGGATAAAACTCAAAATTTTGAAAGTTAAAGACAAAGTCCGACAACCTGAAAGAACTTACTAATTTTCTCATCTGCACTCATTTTAGTGGCACTCACATCACTGCGTTTGTTGAGTACAGGATGAGTATATGTAAGGGTAGCAGAAAATACAAAAGTTTGAAGCTTTTTAGATGTATTCCTGCAAATAGTTAAATATACTTCTTAGAACGTCTTAATGAAGCGACAAATAAGGCATAATGATTAAAATGCTAATAACATGGTCTTCCTTTGGAAGATCAATGTTCGGTTATACTCAGCGTTCAGTTATATTACGACCGGAAGAAACATTGATTCGACCGAACATCGAGTAAAACAATTCCAGAAGTTTGGACATACTCCGGAAGTAAAATTATCCCTTGCCTTCTAATTTCATTAATTTACTGGTAGCACAGAACTCACAGCTTCAGCAATATTTTAATGGAAAGGTTTAATTATTCACTTCCTTATAATATCTAAAATATGCTGCAGATCTTCAAAATGTCCTTTTTCAATCATACGATCAGTTTCATCGACCACCAGACACTGTAAGTTGGACCAGTCAGAAAGGCAGCTGTCGGCTTCAGCTGATGTCATCAAAGCTAAAAGTCGTCCTGGGGTTGCAATAACGATTTCAGGAACATATTTTAATATACGCTCCTGTTTTTGTAGTGAAAGACCACCGACTATAGACGCAACCTATAAAACGAAAAAAAATAACGAAAATAACTTGAAATCTCTATTGTACAACCCAATCTTTCTTTCCTTTAAAAAAAAAAATGCTACTCGGATCGCGGTACAGAACTGGTTCGGAAGATGCAATCATATAACCAAAACCCTAGAGTGAAGCGAAAGTTATTTGGGAAACAAACAGAATGATTCTTTCAAGGAAAACGAACTTTTCCATTTTATCATAAAAGAAATAAAATTGTGTGGTTAATTTATAGAGTACATCGCAGTGGCTTATCGGAATAATTATTTTGCCCTAAATTCTTCTCAGAGATGTCCAGCTTAGCAATGTCTTCATTATATGTACAATCAGTTACTTCATTTAGAAACATGAGGATCGGTTGAGACGGGATCTTGTGAAAGTGCAGCTTATCAATTCACGAAAAGAAAGTAACAGTACTTTAAACGAAGTATATTTTAGCAAAGCATGAATGTGGTTCCTAATTTGCATCACTAGTTCGCGAGTCGGTGCAAGGATGAGAGCTCGAATACTCTTTTTTTGTTCACTACTTTCGGCAAATGATTGGTTTGCTAATAGACGTTCAACAACAGGTACACCAAATGCCAGTGTTTTTCCACTTCCCTGTAAAAATATGGTTTTGCAACAGCTCACCATTTAGCATAAAAGCTAAATTAGATAAACAAAAGGACTTATAGTACTTAATAGACGCCATTTAACTAACGCATGTACAGCATGATACTAAAACTATTTTAAGTATTTGAGCGACATTATAACTGAAAGAAGCTTTCGAATGAAATGTGAAGGAAGTAATTTCAGTCTAGACTAACAAATTCACGAACTTTCTGCCGACAAAAAAACTTTGCCTTTTATGACTACTTAATAAAAAATTTAGAAAAAGTTTAGTACCGTCTCCGCAGCTCCAATGATATCAAAGCGATCCCTAATAGCGCTTGGTATAACAAGTCTCTGAATTTCCATAGGTTCAGTAAATCTACAACATTTATATCATTAGTTTTACATTTTCATTATAAAAAAAGAAAAAAAAACATTTTGAAAAGGTAGCAATTGTTCTGTAATTTACTAAATTCATAAGTGAAAAAAAAACCCCATATCAGCGATAGCTTTTAAAACTGTATTGGAAATATAAAGATTTATCCAGCCCGACATGTCTGGAATCCCATCTTCTCTTCCATCCACTTCATCTGCAATAATACTATTGAAATAGTAATATGGTAAAATAATGTACTGCGCAAAAGTTTTCTTTGATGCTCATAAGAAGGAAGAAAAATGAAGATAATATAACATATTTAAAAAGCAAAGACAAAAACAACGTATATACCATATTCAATTTCTTCATTGCTAACACTCATCGTTTTTTCAGTGTCACCATTTGTTTCTTCACTCTTCGTTACGGAAACCTTTCAAAAACAATGAACCGTCATATTTTTAAAATATCACTTTTATCTTCTGAATTCATAGGAAATTCGTTTCAATTACTTACTGAGATTAACCTGCCTAATAGCCCTAACCTGATTTTATTGATTGTGCCATTGAAAGAAGTAGAATTAGATAGAGGGAATATGGCATATTTTACTGATTAAAGTGTTTATGGCAAAAGGCAGTGGAAACTCCAAATTGGAAACACCAAAAACTCCAAATCAAGAATTGCAGATCTTTCTTACGTATAAAATGGAAATGTACATTCGTGATAACTCCTTCATTCAAAAATCCTCTCAACATAACTTTAGCCTTCCTACACATATAAACCTACCTGCTTTGTAACCACAGTCTTCTCGGATTCTTCCAACTTTTTCCTTTTCTTCTTTTTCTTCTCCGCTCTCTCTTTTGTGTGATCATCATTTGTTTCTGATTTATCCAATGCATCATTTATTTTCCGCTTTTTCGCATTCTTCTTCTGCAATCTTTCAAATTAGGAGATCAAGAGAAGGAATATGGGAAAAAATCAAATAAACAAGCGAAAATAACATTAATGTGATGAAAAAAAAATTCAATGATATTTTATTATCACTCCAACTGTGCAATTTCATATACTTTTCCTTCAATTTCATTACAAATGGGAAAAAAAGAAAAAAGCATTGAGTTAAACTGATTATTTTGAAAGTTTGTTATCTTCAAAATAATATTAAAACAATATTAAACTTCGATGATTCCATTTCTTTGTTATTCGAGTTATCAAAAATAATAGCCTTCACATTTGAAATTTTACCTTTAACATCATTTCCACTTATGTACAGCAATTATTATCATACCGTAACGAACAATGTGCAACATAATCCAATGAGAAGGAGGAAAGACTGGAAATTAAAAAATACCATTATTTTGTTTACATCCTTATGCTCTTCGATGGGTATGTATTCTTCGAATGATGAAAGAAATGCGAAATTATCATCAAAGATACATTCACCAGAAACATCAACCGTTTTCCATTTACCGTTACCAGTGACAATTTTAGGCATCTGAATTGAATTTACTGTAAAATCGGTTAAAATTAAAATAATCTCTTGAGAAGCTATCGAAAATTTTATCAACAAATTTTAGATAAATTTAAATAATTTCCACCACCGTATAGCGAATTTGCATTTGGGTACAATTCTTTGGTTTGATGGGAAGTGACATAAGTTGGATCGGACCGGATTGGATTGGATGAACTTGTAGGG